GGCCTGGTCTCCTCCACTGTGGGGGGTGACTCCTTGTCTCCTGCTGAAAGTAAAGAGTAACGGTTATGTAACAACACAGTGGGAGGGTTAGGAGCAGGGGTGGAACACTGCCTGCTGCCGGAAGTAACCAGCTGCCAGTGCTCACCCTGCACCACTGCCTCCTCCATAAGTGGCTGGTCAACAGTCCCACATCCTAGGACAGTGACCTCCGTGGACTCCACAGGAATACTGTCCAGGAATTCCTCATGGCTTCGAATGCTCCTCAGCCTGGCCACCTCCTCCTGTAGCTCTCCCACCTGCTGCCTGAGAGATTCCACCAGCAGGCACCTTTCACAACGGTTGTCTCCCCCAGCCTGGAGATCACTCAGTGGGAATTGCAAGCCACAAATACAGCAAGACCACACCAGGACCTGAACTCAGCGGCAGAACTCAGCGGCAATGTAGACGCAGGTATAGTTTTGTCGACAAAACTGTAGTCTGTAGTCTAGACACACCCTGACAGTTGTTCTTTCTCTTGTATTCCTTTTTCATTTGGGGGCTTAGTGTTCTCTTGGAGGATGGGTTAGAGTGACAAATGAGCTCGTGTCTAACTGCTAGGTTCTCTTTCACTGCTCATGATATTCATTCGTTACTTTAGGTGGACAGATCTCGCACATATTCTTTGGATGAGTTTTGTGAGGAGCAGTATCAACAGAATAAAGAAGCACTTCATCAGCTACAGGCTTTCAGAGAGAAAGTCATTAAGGCCATTCAAAGTACTTTTTTAAAGGTAATAACTGAAGATCTTTTGCTATTTTTACTTTTCTGGTTTTATCCTGATTTTTTTCCTATTCAATTTCTATTAAAAAACTATTAGGCATGTGCAATATTAGAAGAGAAGGTACCTCTGTATGCAAACAAAAAATTAAACAGAAGCGTTACTTAAAAATGCAGAAAAATAGTTTAAAAAAGTGGACTGTTACAAAATGTGATGAATGTGATATAGAAGGGATTTAAAGCATACTTGTCTGAATTTATTTTTACTAACATTACAGGTGGCAGAAATGAAGGGAGCTCAAAGTCTTTTTCAGTCTGTGCCAACTCACAAGGAAGAAAATCCAAAATATGCTAAGATAAGTGAATGGCGTCAAATGATGAAACGCTTTTCAAAATTTCTTCAGCTAGTGGACAAGATCTTCCAAGAACTGCTCCGTAAACTAGTGCACAATGCTGTTCAATTGCTATTAGAGTTATTTAAGGGTTCCAACGATGTGACCAATCCAGATGAAAAGAAGAATGAAAACCTTATAAGGTTGTTTCTTTTACTATTAGTTTTGAGAACTGATCTAAATCATTTTAATTTCATTGTATTTTCTGAAAGTAATGTAATTTTTTATTTTGTTCCACTTTTATATGGTGTTTGTGGACCATCAATTTCATCTACATAGCTTTCAGGGCCTCTGCACACATGATTTGCTTATGTGTGGATACTGAGATTTGACTCTTAATATTATTATTAATGGAGACATCAGTATAGTAAGTGGCAGATCCATGAGTCTTAGACCCAGGCCTGGGAAGGAGCTCAAGAGCTCCAGCGAGAGTAGGCTGCCAGATTTGGAGGTTGTGCAGTATGCCCCTCTTGGTTCCAATGCTCTGCTCTTTACCTGTCCTTGGATTTCTTCTCTATTTAGGGCCCAGATATAAATTCTCACAGCACTGTGGCTTTTTTTGAGTAAAGTTGATTGCTAATTTGACTCCTGAAATGCTGAGAATAAGTATCACCGATCTAACATAAGTTTACCTGAAAAATAGATATTTACTTAAAAAAATGTTACAAATATTTTAATGAGGATGCTTTAGTATTGAAAGATAATAAATAATTGTTTTCTGCTTAATCTGTAAAAAACAATTTAGTTTTCTTTGATTCATTTTGCTAATCCAGAATTTATAAGAACATTCTTATGAGACCATCTGGACTGTTTGATGCAGAATACAATTTTGTAGGAGCAGATAAAGAATTAATTGGAGATTTTGAGAGAGCATCTGAAGAACCATCTTGCCATTCAAGGGTGGACAGGCTTTTAAAACCTGAAATATTTACTGTAGCTGACATTGACAAGGTAAATGGACAAGCCTCCAAAAATAGGAATTTTCTTTGAGTGCTTGACATACATATTCCACTGTAAATATGTGTGCTTCTGAGTGCACTTGAGCTGGAGGATTCTATTGATCAATACCCATCAAGGTGGTGCACGCTCCATGAGTGACCTCATTCATCTAACAGTGGACATAAAGGACAGGGTTATCCCATCTATCTTGTATTTCCGTCTGACCACCTGTTGCTAAAAATGTGAGCTTCAAATGACACCTTGTGCTCACTGTTTTCCTGTGCTCATCAGTAGCTTTTCTTGTGTACATACTTGTTAGTGTAGTCGTTAGTACAGTAATTACTCGTTTAACACGTGCCTGCTTAACACATTTTCGCAATAGCACCATTTTTTTTCAGGGAACGTTTTTCAAATAAAACGACTGTACCCGAAATAACACCAAAATAATCAAGTGGCGAACTACTTGGCGTGGAGGTATAAGTTGGTAAAAACAGTAGTAATACGCATGAGCGGATGAATACATGTGGTCACAGCGCTCCTCCACTCACGTGTTTCTTTGTTTTTTAACAAACCATGGCAACTTGTGTTGCTAGTTATCTTGTGTTGCTAGATATCTAATGTTGACGTTGACGACCCAGCACTAACAAAAAATTGGCTTTGCCACCACCATCTTAAATTCAACCCTCACCTTTTCCATTATTTTGAATGGGAAAATTGACCCCCACATAGCACGTTTTCGCTTAGCACAGACATTTTCAGAAATGCATCTATAAATGAGGAATTACAGTATATATTATTTCGTTTGATGTCTTTTAATAGAAGATTTGTTATTTTGTTTCTAAAGTGGTACTCCAGTATTGACTTAGCCATGTTAAAACTTGGGGACTTACACAACTACTAGTCATGCAAGGTAGTTATACCTACTAATGATGGGCATATTAGATGCCTGATCTAATAATGGCTTAGGTGAAGGTCCTGTTAGGGACATGTGCTTGTTGTACATGCTTCTCTAGATAATGCAAAACCCAGGGAGGCTTGTCTGAGAGGACAGTGTATGGAGAGTCACATACATCCAGTCTAATGATCCCAGCCAGCCTGAAACGGATCAAGTGAAGCACAACATCTTTTGAAGTACTTCAGCAGCTACAGTTTCATATGTTCACTGAGGTACTTGTCCTCTGGCAGATAGACCTTCAGATGACTGGAGAAAAGTAGCACTGTTCCCTTGCCTGGGTACATCATTGAAAACTCCTAGGACTTTGAGCTCAGTAGAAAACAGTGGACCCAAAAAGGGCTCTTGGAGCACTTGTGGCTCTGATCCATCTTACTCTCAGGGAAGAAAGTACCTTGTACGTTGACTAGTACTGAGCTGGTACCATTCATATCAAAGTATTTGGTACTAGAACTATTGATTACACTTGGTTATCAATGAAGCTTCTACTCTTCCCCCACATTGCTCCTTTGGTAGTTATAACCTAAGTTCCCTGTTAGCTGTATGGCAGGGTGACCATACAGTTGGTAATTGAGCCCTGCCCAGAGGTTTAGGGCTGCTGTACAGGGAGCTTCCTCGTGCCCTCTGCATCAGAATCTCTCTGCTCCAGACAATGAGCTTGCTGGTAGGGGAGAGGACATAAGGAGGAGGGAGTAAGTACATGTCTGGGATAGGAGGGGCCAGAGGGGAGGGGAGTTAGGAGTGTGCAGTAAGTGCATGTCTGTGAGAGGAGAGGTTTGATTAGAGTTGTGATTACAGCAGCTGGGTTTGTCTGCAGCTTCCTGTGAGGAAACCCAGCATGCTCCTTTAGTTTCTTGGTCTGGGAGAGAGGGAGCAGATTGTGCAGGTGTAGGTGGGGGAAATACGGGGTGGGTTAGTGCTGGCATCTGTGCAATGAGGTGGAGACAGAGGGCAGTTTGTTTGGAGTGTCTTAACTTGCTTCCATCTGGGCTTCAGGCAGCAAGAATTAAACCCTGTCTGTCTCAGCATAGCAGCCCTAGTTGGGCTGCAGACATAGGAACCTCTCCTGGGCTGGGGTAGGTTGTTTTCGTGGTGCCAAAATTTCAGCTTGGTTAAAAGCTTTTAGTCTTCTTTTGAATACTGGAACAAAAGGCCTAGCTCATGACTTATGCATGATTAAATTTCAGACAAAGTTTACATAGGTGTTAATGGCTTAAGATAAGAAAGGAAAGGATTCTTTTAACAGTGGTTTTTTTAAGTGTTATAGATATCTGCAAACTCCTATCTTAATGATTTTTTAAAAATTCTGTGTCACTAGTTAATATATAGTAAATGGTTAAAAGTGGAAGAACTTTGCCGTGGTTTCTGTTTAATTTATTTGGCCTTCAGTTGGATTCTGGACAAGTTCTCTCGCTCATTGTTTTACAGATCTCTGTTTCATTTGCATGTCATGGATCCTAAACATTCCCCAGAGAAAGTGTATATGCCTTTTACTCTCCTTTCCAGTGCCAGTAAATATTATATTACTATTTTCAAGGAGAGTGTGACTATTTCTAGTTGACTTATAGATTCAGTTAGCATCTTAAAGCTGTGCATCTTTTTTAGACTTTTATTTAATGGCCATGTCTCTGATTTATTTATATAGCTATTTGCCGTATGCCCCTTTTTGGTATGTTTACCAGCTTGAGTTGTTAGAATGGTAATACATGTACTCTAAAGGTAGTGTTACTTTTCTTTATTTAATTTCATATGAAATAAACATCTTAAGCATCTGAGGTTCTAAACAGACCCATAAAAGTGGATAAGTACTACCATTATAAATTTAAGAAACAAATTAGGCTCAGAAAGTGACTTGTTCAAATCAAGGACAGAATTGGTAATAAAATTCACATCTGATAGCTAGTCCTTATGTGTAATGGTTAATCATTTCATCCTATCATCTCCATATCGGAAGTGCTGTCTCTGTTTGTATCTGGTATAATTATTTCTAATGTTCATACACCTGCTTTTTAATTAACACTTTTACACTGATGATAATCAGTAATCTCCTTCGGCTCTTGGTTTTAGGATCAGTGTTTTATTTTCTTTCCACTGTATAGTATGTTCACACAACTGATATTTATAATTTATGCTGTTTAGTGTGTGATATGTGATTTTATTTTGTTTTGGTATACAGTTGGCAAGTAAAATGTTATAGTAAATATTTTTAATTTGGCTTTGTAGTTTAATAATTTTTTTAATCTATTTAGGTGCTGGAAGATGTAAAAAAGCAACTGGAAGGAGAGCAACAATACGCACCAGTATTTGAAGTAAATATAGGTCTAAGAATTCCTTTAGAAAATTTTAATGATAGGGGCAGCCATCAGGAGGATGATCTGGAGTCCTGTGAGATGGAAGATGATTATTATTTTTCACTGACCTCGATAGAACTTCTGAAGCAAAGGCTGAAAGACAATGATAATGACAATTTGAAAAATTGGACCCAGAGTAACAGTAAATGGGCATGTGAGGAGTTATCAGAAAATACAAAGAAACGAGAGACATTTAAATTCAGTCAAGGAAAAACTGCCCTTTTTGGTAAGATAAAGAGTCCTTTAGCAGGAAAGAGAAGTTACATATAAACCATTAGTGAAATAAGATTTAGAATATATCCAGTAGCACAGCAGTGATTGAATATTATGTAAACGTTAGTGTTTTTACAAGTAGTAATAACATATTAATTTAAAGATTACTGTATTTTCTGGTCTACTAGTGACTAATGAAGTGCATTTAATCTCTAAGTAACTTTTTATTTTAAAAAATCATTTCCATCTGTTAAGTACTGTGTGTGAGAGAGAATCTAAGAGCTAATCCACTGGTTTTTTTAAGTCACTGCTATAAGACATCTCATAATTGGTTATGACTCCACATAACACCAATGGAAACATGGGGAATAAAAAATGACGTTTTTGTGAAGAGGATGAGCAATCTGTTGATTAAGCTTAATTTTTATAGTGGGATAGCATCTTCTGGAAATGTTAGATTCTCCGTTGGGAACTTTCTAGAAGCTAAAACTATGCCTTTCACAAACTTCTTACCACATGGATTGTGGAAAATAACTGGCTAGTCAATAATACGGGGCAGACTGCTCCTGGATGTTCCTCATGTGCATCTGTCTCTTGAGAATGTTTGCTGTCTTTTTCTAAGTGTCAGGTTTGGCAAGAATTAAATAATTCATAAAGACAGGCACATGCTAATGATTCTAAAAGTTCCTCAGATACTTCAACCAGCATCTGAAGATGTGGCTTTGAGAATATTGACAGACAGCTGAAACTGGATGAGTTAGTCAGATTCATCTTAAAGTTCTTCATCAGTCAGAATTCAATTTGCTTTGATACAGAGGGGGAACTCCCCAAAAAGGCCTAATGTCTTTCTAGACAGTGGAATAAGTCCTTGTTCTGAAGCAAGTCATTGGCAACTTTCTGCTCTGGAGCACAATCCCACCTAGTACAAGGACTGGACTGAAATTGTAAAGGACAAAATTATGGCACCTTCGAATAGAGGTACTGCTTCTCTGGCACTAAATCCTCATTGCTACTGCTCGATCCACCATCTTCTGCTTCAACAACTTGAGTTAAATAAATGACTCCATCTCTCTGTTTGGTTCTAAAAAACCTTCCTCTGCTTTCAGCACCAGAATTACTTCTTTCCAGACTTCAATACTTTGTACCAGGACTTCATTTGCTTTTGATATCACTATGGAACTCCCTTTTTCCCCCCATTTCTAGTAAGGGTTTAGCCAGATTGGCTCTGGTACAGTCACTGAGTAGAAAGGCAGGTCATCACATTCTTCTCCAATATAAGAGGTCCCCTGCTTGGGGATCTGGGATAAGAATCCTTAGGGTTGTAAAAGGACTATGAGAGAGAAACTTTCTGCCTGAGCAAAATATCAGGAGTCTCCAGGATTTCTTGCCATTTCTATATGAGAGACTATTCCCCTATGCTCACTGGTGCTCTGCCTCTTGAGGATCAGTATAGAGCAATATGCGATCTCACAGTGGCAATACTGGACCCCAAAAGATCTGTAGCATTATCACTCTATTACCCACCTCACAGCACAAAGGATCAAAGCAGATCTACTATACTCAAATGGTGGCAGAGAAGCTTTTTCAGTCTTCTTAGAAATCATAGCTCCAGCAGTATGCAGATGATGATAAATGAGAGCAGGAATTGTCTACACCTGTGTAATTTTCTTCTTTACTGGATGATGTGGTCATTCTAGTTTCCCTACCTTGAGGCCCTCCAGAATTTACTAAAGAGAGTGGTAGAATCACTTCTGTTTCCCTGAAAGTTGTCTAGGAAGAACCACACAAACTGTTGGTCATTTTGTGTAAGGTTAGTCCTCAGAAGAGTGGTGCTTTTTTTTTTAAAAAAAAATGAGGACATTCTCAAATCTTCCAGGCGTCTCTGGCAAACTCATGCCATGATCCCACCAGTCTACAGTTGGTCTCAGAAAAGATAGTTAATTCCTGTGAAGGGGTTAGAATACTCAATTTTTCACCTACCTCCCAACTCATTGATGGGATCTTATAGACATCAAGAATAGCTGACAGAAATGACTTTTGTGTGTCAATGTTTTAAATATCCATTTGCTGAATTTAAAGTCTCATATACTAATGTACTTATTTAAAAAGTCTTAACAGAGTGAGAGGATTATTCTAAGAGGGGTGGGCGAGATTCTGTGGCCTGCACTGTGCAGGGGGTCAGACTAGATGATCATAATGGTCCCTTCTGACCTTAAAGTCTATGAGTCTATGAGTCTATGAACATTCTTCAAAGTCTGAATCAGCCTCCAATTCACCAAATAGTTAATTAAACTTGTCTTCAGTTATGGCTGCTTCTGCATTGTCATTGTAGATGTCAGCAGTATCGTCTTCAGACATAGATTTTTTATTATCCGCCTCCCTTGAATCAACAGCAAATATGGTGTCATCTTCTGATCCATCAACCACATTGCTGATCTAGAAAAAATCATTTAGGAAATGCTGTAATTTCTGAGGGGATGAACTCTCATGCCACCTTGACCAGATTAAATTTCTGGCTTCTTCAGATTCCTGCCTTTGTCAACTTCACCATGCTGGAGCATATCCAGACCGACCACATTTTGTATGGCCTGTCCTTAGAGGGTTTGTTTGGGCAGATATCAAGTGGTTATATAACAGAAGTTAAGCCTCCAGCTACTGCACCCAAAGTAATTTAATTTTTTTTTGTTTCATCTTATCCCTCTTTTGTGCCCTGAACATGTCTCAAAGGATCATAACAGGTTTCTGAGAAGTGCTCCTGGTCTCTTATTCCACATTTTTTTCCAGTCATTCAGTAGTTCCACTTTCATCCATCCATCCCTTTTCCTACGTGCATCCAATGACACCCACAGGAAATTTCAGGTTTTCAGGCAAGGTTTTACTTTTAATAATAACAGGAGAGAGCTTTGATCCATTGGCCAAATGTGATAAAACCACTGTAAAATAGATTTTTCATGACCAGTGGTTTAAAGTAAAACTTTATTCACCAATACCAGTTACTGTTTGTTGCTCAGGAGATCAAATATCATTAGTGTTTCATCCACATTTCCTATTTGTGACAGCTCAAATGCATATCCCTTTTGATGTCTTATAATAACCCTTTGGAAAGATTTGATTTTTTTTTCCTTCCACATCTCTCGGCAGCTTTTGTGTTATCTTTGTTTGCTGATGAAGACAGACACACCATGATGGTTCATGAAATGAGTATACCAATCTGCTGATGCCACGAACATTGATGGCTTTGACTTCTATTTGTCATCTTTTGACATTTGCAAAGAACGCAGATGAATTCCAGTTCTAGTGACTCATTTTGTCGACATTCAGCACCGAGATCTTTCTCCAGCCCAGGAAATAAAGCACACTTCGTTGGATGGTTTTTCTTGCTTCTTGCCGAGTGTCTTAGTGTTGTGTTGTTTTTTCCATCATTCTCTTATCTGCTTCCCATTGATACAGAATTCATGAACAGCAATGCAAATGTCATTTACCTCTGCACATTCAACAACTTTCAGTTTGAACGCTGTATTAAATGCTATAAACAGTTGGTTTTCTTTTGAGTTCACTATGGTTCATTTCCAATGCTAGTATGAAAATCTTACAAAATCTGTCATTAAGTTATTTTTTATTACTTTATTTAGGAATGTCAACTGCTTTATTACTGTCAAATTGTTATTGTTCTTTGTTTTTTTTCAAAGCAGCCCTGTAGATTGACATGCCTGTGACTATAAAGGCTATTTAAATGTCATTGTAGATTCTATTTTCACATTGGCTTAATAGGTGGGCCAGTGGTCGACATGCATGAAGAAGTCAAATTACACAGTAGCAGACTGACACCAGCACCAAAGCACTATCATTCACTGTATTTTTCTGATTGGTTTGTAAGGTCTAGTATTTTTTAAATGGATGGGTCAAATTCAGTGCAGATCTGCATTATCACTACTTTAGCATAGAATCATAGAATACTAGGACAGGAAGGGACCTCAAGAGGTCGAGTCCAGTCCCCTGCCCTCATGGCAGGACCAAATACTGTCTACCATCCCTGATAGACATTTATCTTAGGGTATGTCTACACTACAAAGTTAATTCAAACTAACGGACGTTAGTTCAAATTAACTTTGATAGGCGCTACACAGGCGCTCCGCTAGTTCGAACTGAGCGCTTAGTTCGAACTAGGTAAACCTCATTCTACAAGGACTAAGCCTAGTTCAAACTTACTAGTTCGAATTAAGGGGTGTGTAGCCCCTTAATTCGAACTAGTGGGAGGCTAGCCCTTCCCAGCTTTCCCTGGTGGCCACTCTGGCCAACACCAGGGAAACTCTATTGCCCCCCTCCCGGCCCCGGACCCCTTAAAGGGGCACGGGCTGGCTACGGTGCCCGTGCCAGGTGCAAGCCTGCCAGCACCCA